AGAGAAACGATGTGAATCATTGATACTGAAACACCTTTGAGTGGGATTTAAAATTCCTGTCCAAAATAAAACTCCACAGGGTTTTTGTTTAGTGGAAAATTTTTCTGGTGATGATTATCTTGCGGGTGAGGGTCCAATCTGGAGGCAGAGACAATGCTGTTATGTGGAGTATAAGATTGCCTGAGCAGTCAAGAGAGTGAAAAAGCACCTTTAAGAGTTCAAAAGTTATGGCTACAAAAGAGTAGTTCCTACCTGTAGGATGAGAAAGGACAGAGTCGCGGGAGTAAGAGAAGGCACTCCCTCCCTCCCTGGCTGCAATCAGACCTCTTGGAGACAGCATGGATGTGAAAAGATCTTTTTGTCCCGGGATGGAGAAACTTGCCAGAGAATAAGGGTCTGTGTGACTCTATAGAAGAGACCTCCATTGCAGAGTTTGTGGAGCGTGGTGGTCCATGGAGGGGTGAGTCCCCCAGGGGCAGTGTGGTGGTTTGATTAGGTATGGCCCCCATAGACTCGTGTGTTTGAATGTTTGGCCTATAGGAAATGGCACTATTAGGAGGTGTTGCCTTGTTGGAGCAGGAGTGGCCTTGTTGGAGGAAGTGTGTCACTGTGGGGGTGGGCTTTGAGGTCTCATATGCTGAAGCTACACCCAGTGATGTAGCCTCCTTCTGCTGCTGTAGATCAAGATGTAGAATTCTCAGCGCCCTTCTCAGAGCACCATGTCCACCTGCAATGCCCCACCATGTCCTGCCATGATGATAATGAACTAAACCTCTGAAACTGTAAGCCAGCCCCAATCAAATGTTTTTCCTTAGAAGAGTTGCCTTGGTCATGGTGTCTTTCACGGCAATAGAAACCCTAAGACAGGCAACCATGGGAAGGCGAGCAAGCCCTGAGGGGCAGCTGGAGTTTATCTGTGCTGACCTCTGACCCTCCCCACAGTGAACACCCTAACCTGGATGCTGGAATGGAAGGGAAGTACGTCCCTGCTGGGACTTGCCGGACCACTCCAGTGTTTGACACCTACAGCACCTAGCGCTTGCTTAGCTGGCACAGGAGAAAGGGTAACCGGTTACCAGCTCCTCTGCCACCAGGCCGGACAAAGGAAAACTGATTTGGACCAGGACAAACAATAGATAGGAAATGAACTCTAGGGACATCAGGAACCACAACCAACTGCATTTAGTTTAAAGGCACTAGATTCCCTCTGGATAAAGACAACAGCAGAAATTTCATAGGAGGAACATTAGACAACAAAGTATCACAGTCCTAGTCAGAGTGACTAGAAAGAAGAAAGCCATAAAGGAACTGCAGCATGCAATGAACACCCACTGAGAGCGAATTCCAGTTAAGGGGCAGTTGTTGTTCATATGGGCTTTATAGCAGATCAGTTAAAGATAGGGAGACAACCGGGCTTCTGACATGTCAAAAAATAATTAGAACACACGGTGGGGAAATATCCAACTCAGAGCAACAGTAAAACAAAAGGGGGCATTGAAAAACATCAGAAAAATGCAATAGGTACTCAAGGCAACTTACAAAGAAAACTGAAGTACCCTGAATAGAAGCCAGAATCAATGGCAGGACGTACGTTTTTGTGGTTGATAACCTGCACATTTTCCAGATGCTAACTGTCCTTGGTGCTGAGCTCTACATACCCGGCTATCCTGGTGCAAATCAAGCCATGGACGTCTTGATATTAGCAAATTTTGACCATGATATTCATATAGAGGACAAGATTTTTCAAAAGATTTGAAAACAGAATAATGAGGGGAAATTATTTTATTCAGACGATAAAACATGCTCAAGTCTCCATAACAGGAGGAGCAGCAATAAAATGCCAGCAGCGGGAGAAATTTGAAAAAACAGAAGCATCGGCATCATGTGGAAATTCAGGGACCATTTCATAGGGATACAGAGCCAGTCGTAGACATTAAGAAAAAGAGGCTGATAGCTTACTGTCTAGAAAGGGTAGGCTTTAAACGGAATTCTAACCTGTTGGACACGCTGCAACAAAAAGAGCCAACGGCTGGGGTGGAGAAATCTTCTGGTTCCTTGTGGGCTGCCTGGGAGCTGACCTCTGTGCTCAGGGTTTATTGAAGGTTCCTGAATGTCAGATGACAGGCCTGAGGAAAGAAAGTACTGTGTGGGGGAACAAAGAGGTCCAGTGAAGTGGGAGGCAGAGGACTAAGTAAACAAAGATGCCATGGGCTCTGGAAAGTTAGATTATACTTAATGTCTCTCTGGACTGTGTAGTGGAGAGGCCACATACCGAAAGGGCATGCGACCACCGCAGCCCTCCCAAGTGGAGCACGCCTAGAGGAAGCAGGAGGGCCTGTTGCTGGAGAAAGGCCTCCCTCCACTCAGGAGCAGAGCCATCTGTCTCCTAGGGAGCTGGCTCCTCGAGGAGCAGGGGGAGGGAGACACAGGTGATCCCAAAGGACCGATTCTTCCCAGTAACAGCCAATAGGGAGGAAGGCAGGCTTGCTTTGAGTGTGGTCCCGAGGCTTCTGGTCTCTTGAAAGGCTGGCCTCAGCGGCCCCCACCTCTGGGAGCAGCGCCCCCGCACCCTTCCGGCCCGGGGCTGCAGTACCGTCCCCGGCCGGCAGAGGCGCTGCGGGGCGGCGCCAGCGCGTTCCCACAGGTCGCGGCGGAGGCTGCGCCCCCTCCCCTGCCCGCTTCCTGGTCCTCGGGGTGTGAGGGCCGCAGCCTGGGACTCCAGACCCAGGGGCTGCGGGTGTCCTCGGCGGCCGCCTCAGCGTCCGCGGCGACGTCACGGTCCTCGCGGCCTCGCAGCCAGCGCTCGGGCCGGCCGCCTAATGCCCGTGGACGCGCATCTCCTCCCCGAGTTCCTGCTTCCCGGGCCAGCCAAAGCCGCAGGTGAGAACGTCCGCGGTAGAGGTGGCACCCAGGGCCTGCGGGTCTCAGAGGGCCCCTGGCCTCCTTCTCTCCTCCTTGCCCAGGAAACCCCGCGGGGGCGCCGGCAGCGGGGACGCTAAGTGCTGCCCGGAGCCCCAAGAGCATTTCTTCTGAGGCACGTAGCCCCCCTCCCCCGCCCAGGTGCTTCTGCGAGCTCCTTTGTGGACCCCCCAAGCCCCTAGGGGATCCCCCGCCGAGCACCCCGCGGGCCCCACCACCCCTGGCGCGCATGCCCAGAGCCCTGGGAGCTAGAAAGTAGCTGAGCTGCTGGCGCAGTACCTGCTGGCTAAGAACGCGAAGACTGTGTGGATCAAAAGGGCAGACATGCTGAAGTGTGTTATCCTAAAGGTGCAGGAGCTTCTTCCCCGAGATTTTCAAGAGAACCTCTGACCTCCCCGAGTTAGTCTTTGGGTCTAGGTGAAGGAACTTGGCCCTCCAGAGCACGCCTATGTCCCTAACAGGAAAAAAAAAAAAAAATCAGCCTGCCCTGCCTTGGGGGCCTGACAGGCGACCAGACCAGGGCAAGCACGCCAAAGACTGGGCTTTCTGCTGAGTATCCCGGACTTGATCTTCGTGCAGGCCAGCTGTGTCCCAGAGGAGGTGTTCGGGGAGGTGTGGAGGGTGCTGGAGGTATGCTCGCCTAAAAAGCATCCCGTCCTTGGGGAGCCGTCACCAAAGGGAATGGCCAGAGCTTGTGTGCAGCACAAGTTTGTGGTGCACGAGTAGGTGCCCTCCAGCAGTCCAGTGCTGTCTCTCAGTATTCTTGTGGGGCCCTCCAAGGAAACAAGACAGATGGAAGGCCAGGAGTTTGTGGCCCAAGTGAATGACACCCGGCCCAGAGCCTTGGCTGTGGCAGTAAATGAGGCCTTGAAAGAAGAGGAGGAAGTGCCCAGTGCTCACAGTGCGGTGGCCGAGAAGCAGCTGCTGGTGATGATGTGACAGGTGCGAGAGTTAGTGCGAGTTCCAGTTCCAGGGCCCCTGCCGTGGCTGAAGCAAGCAAGCATCAGCACCAGTGCCAGGGCAAGTGCCAGGGCCAGGGCTAGAGCCATGCCGGAGTGATGGACAGTGCAGGGGCCAGTCACCATCTCAGGTCGGAGTCTGGGCTTCTGCCGCCACCAGGGATGGCTGAGGCTTCCTTGCTTTTGTTGTGAGTAGTCAAAGGGGTGCTGGAGCAGTAGGCCCTGTGGCTCTGATTAGGAAGTGCAGGGCTAGAGCAGGGTGAGGAAGGACACATAGCATTCTGCTCCAGGGCTGTGCTTCCTGGTGACTTAGTGCCTAGTCTGCACATGGCAAGGTTGTGCTTTCTCTGTAGCTACCCTCTTTCTCATTGAGAAACAGTTGCGAAGCCTCAAGGCATGAGAACTAAGTGATGAAGGCTGAGGATGTGGCTGAGTGGTAGAAGACTTTCCTCAAATGGGCAAGGCTGTGGGTTTCATCCCCGCAGCCATAAGATAAGTCAAAAGTGCCTCGATATGTACATGTCAGATCAGAGTGGAAGCAAAGGCATAGTAAAACATTTCCCAAAGCCTTGCTTTTCTAGACGTATGATTAAGTATGAGCGTCCACGGTTATGCTTGGCATACATCCAGGGTTTCTTTGTTCCTTATTTACGGGAGATTTCTTTGTTTATACAAAACAATTGTGACACTGTCATTTTATGTCTGAAACATCCTGGGGTCGAGTCAGTAGCTCCTTGAGATGCTGACGGAAGTCGTAACGCTGTGATTCCCCCTCCAGATATTCAGAGGTAAAACACAAATGTGGCCAACACCTGGCACAGCAGAACCAGCTAATGTTTACTTGTATTCACCTAGAGCTCTGGAATGTAGGGGAAAATAAAATTGAACTAGACACCTTGCTCATGGACTCATTTATTTAACCCGTGTCCTAGTGACCATTATGTGAGGCACTGTGTTGGGCACTGGAAGAGCAAGGCAGCAGACTCAGGCTCTGCCCCACATCTGAGAGTCTAGTTGGGGCTCTCAGTGTAAATAATTGAGGTAGATGCGGCAGGCAGGCTTGACCGGGGTGGTCAGGGAGCCCAGAGGACAGGCATCTGGGAGGCAGCAGGCTTCATTGGCATTAGGTAACGGCCCCCAAGAGAGGCAGCACTAGAGATGTAAAAACTGCCAGTGACCCCCTGTCGGGATGTTGTGGACAACTGGTGGACTCCCTGCTTCCGTGGAACTGGAAGGCTAGAATTAGAGGATACTGGAGGGATGGTGAGAGGGCAAGAACACGTGTGCAGGAGACACACTCTCGAGTTGTGGCCGAGAGAGGAGATAAATGAGGATCAACTGGGACTAGACACTCTTGACTTGGGGTTTGCCAGAGGGAAGGCCCACCAGCAGCAGCTGTGGTCCGTGCTCTGGACTCTGGCTCACGTGCAGCTCATTCCCTGCACACTCTGGGTCCTTGACCCGTCCTTTCCAATGAGTGGCAGGAAAGGAGCTGTAGTAGTGGGAGCGGAGGGGCTGCTTCCCGCCACCCGGCTAGCTTTACCCGAAATAATTACACAGAAACTGTATTCTTTTAAACACTGCTTGGCCCATTAGTTTTAACGTCTTATTGGCTAGCTCTTACATATTGATCTAACCCATTTCTAATATTCTGTGTAGCCCACGAGGTGGCTTACCAGGAAAGATCTTAACCTGAGTCTATCTGGAGTGGGAGAATCATGGCGACTGCTTGACTCGGCTTCTTTCTCCCAGCATTCTATTCTGTCTACTCCGCCTACCTAATTTCTGTCCTATCAGGGCCAAGGCAGTTTCTTTATTAATTAACCAATGAAAGCAACACATAGAAAGTAACACTTACATCAAGGAGCAAGTGCTTCTTCACCAGAACAGAGAGTGTCCCCTGAGGCAAGGGCACAAAGCAGAGGTTGTCTCCTGAGGCCTGGGAGAGCCAGTGTGTTATGAGGGCAGTGGTAGGATTACAGTGAGGTTCCATAAGTTGGAAAAGAAAAAGGCTTGTGTGGGGGCAGCTGTAAAGCTTTCTGTTGGTGTTGTGGACCACTGTTGACAGAAATGAGAGAGAACTATGTCTTAGCAGAGCCAGCATAAGCCTTGGTGGCCAGACCGCAGCACCAATCCAATCTGGTTGGGCTACAGAGGTTTTCATGAATAGAGAGGGATCTGATGAAAGTGTAGCTCTACCCAAATGTTGGGGGAGGCCACTTGTTTCATTCCTGCCTGCTGAGTCCTGAAATAATCACATAGAAACTGTATTAATTAAATCACTGCTTGGCCAATTACTTAAGCATATTGCTAGCTAGCTCTTAGAATTAACCCATCTCTATTATTTTATATTTTACCACGATGCTTGTAACCTACTGGCAAGGTTCCAGTGTATCTGTCTCTGGCAGCTCCATGACTTCTCTCTGACTCTGCCTCCTTTCTCCTAGCATTCAGTTTAGTTTTCCCTGCCTATCTAAGTTCTGTCCTATCAACAGGTCAAGACAGTTTCTTTATTCACCAATGGTATTCACAGTATACAGAGGGGAATCCCACATCCCCTCCCCCTTTTTGTTTAAGTAAAAGGAAGGTTTTAATTTTTTTATTTTAATGAAAAAATTTCTGCCTCCTCCCCACCTCCCATTTTCCTCCCCCTCCCTCCACTCCTCCCCCCTCCGCCCACTCCTCTCCCCCTCCCCCCCATTCCTTTCCCCCTACCTCTCCAGTACAAAGAGCAGTTAGGGTTCCCTGCCCTGTGGGAAGTCTAGGTCCTCCCCCCTCCGTCCATATCTAGGAAGGTGAACATCCAAACTGGCTAGGCTCCCACAAAGCCAGCACATTACGTAGGTTCAAAACCCCGTGCCATTGTCCTTGACTTCTCATCAGCCCTCATTGTTTGCCATGCTCAGAGAGTCCGGTTTTATCCCATGCTTTTTCAGTCCCAGTCCAGCTGGTCTTGGTGAGCTCCCAATAGATCAATCCCACTGTCTCAGTGGGTGGGTGCACCCCTCTTGGTCCTGACTTCCTTGCTCATGTTCTCCCTCCTTCTGCTCCTCATTTGGACCTTGGAAGGTTTTAATTTTAACATATTAAAATTACATATAACAAAACAGGTATCAAGCACGAATTACAGTTATAATATTTATATCTACTTTATCTTTTTTCATAACTAAGGAAAACTATATTATTACTATCTACTCTTCAACTCCATCAAAGACTTCAGGAAGGATGTAATATTACCTAAGTAAACAGGGAATACATTGTAAAAAACTTCCAGAACTCTAGAATTGACAGAAATCTCACTGCCTGGACAGTCACCCAAAGTTCTTCTGTACTGTTGGGGCATCCATCTTCAGCCTACAAGTCCATAGTATCCTGCAGACTTTTCCATTCAGCAAGAAATTTCAAAGATACTTCTGCGTATATTAGCAGTTTTTCAGTTACTTTCTTCTGTATTTCTGCAGAATGTTTGGCAGACTCTTTCATGACGCAGGAACCCTGAAGGATCATCTCACCTATGGGCAAGTTCAGCAGATATATCTTTGCGGCACCTACATGTCCAGTTCATCAAGCAGTCCAGGCAAGAGCAGTTTCTTTCCCAAATGTCTAGCCAACTCCAAAAGGAGCCTCTTTGATACCCATCATCCTCTTGAAATATATTAATGCTACCAGGAGCATATGTGTCTCATTGTCATGAAAAGTCCTAAGCTCTTAAAACATTTTAAATGCCATATTCTGTAGTCTTTTAAATGTTTGAAGAATGCTTATCTATCTGAAATATATCTCTATATATCTAGAAAACCTAACTAATATGACTACAAGTTTGACTATTATAGATGATTCTCTATTATATTTCTTAATTATATATTAAATTTTTAAATGAGCTGGACAAACACAATATCTTAATCAAGAACAAAAATGCATATACACAGAATAACAAAATTATCCTTAAATTTTTATCAATAAACCAAGATCCATACCAAATGCAAATCTCTATAACATATCTCCCTTTAAATGTAAATAAACATTTATAAACAATATTTGGGAATATGGGCATAGTTCTTTCCAAGCTGCTTCATTCTGTTTACTGTGCAAAGTAATTTTTGAGGGGTGTTTAAGGTGACCTTTCGGGGAGTATTGGTCCATCAAACCATATTAGTCTGGAAGCAATCCACAGGTTCTCATCCTTTGAGGAAACAATAAAAGAACCTCTTTTCCAAAGCAACATATCCTTAGACTCAAATTCTGAAGTCAAGATACTTTAAAGTGTATATGTTGGTTACTTAGCTCCTTCACAGTCAAAAAATTCAAAGGAAATACAATAATATACATAATCCAGTCTCTGTGTGTGTTCTCCATCTTTACGTGGCTTATTTGTTTTAAATCTATTACTTTTTAATATTTATTTTATTATCTTTACTCCTTTAATCTATGACAATCTATACTCTGTCTCTCTAAAGACTGTGTTTTTTTAAACCATTTACTTGTTTTTATAACTGTCTATATTCATTTTACTATCTCTTCCAAGCCTATGTACATTTATCCAACACTGTGACCCAATTAGAGGTCTTTTCCATCTGAATTTGTCTTTCTTGTGTATTTATAATTACTTTCTGACCAAAAGTGCTTCTTAAAATGATAAGCGCTTGTTATGAATTTAAGCGGCACCATTGCTCGAGGAAATATGGTACTTTCTGTTTGCTCCGTCCAGTCCAGCATGGTGGAGCTGTTTGCTACCTCTGAGAGTCATGCTCACAGCCTCATTTTTAAGCACACAGCCTATCTCTATTGCCATTAAGCAAGTTGTAGCAATCTGCTCACAAACCACCATTTAAATGCTCGGACCTCCTGAAAACACCAGAGGTCATGTTGGCAGCACAGTCCAGAAAACCAGCAATTCAAAAGCATGGCTTTTTTTTTCTACTATCACTGAATCAGGAAATCTCTCTTGAAGGAGCCATGCCTCTGCTTGCTTCTAGCAAACAGAACCCACCCAAGAACATGCTGCTACTAAACCATGGTTAACTCTGTTTTGTGTCTAGGATTCCTTTTTAAGCTTTTTAGGTTTTACATGGATTTAGTCCACCACATTGGCATGCCAATTTGTTGTTGGGAGGCTGCTAGTTTGTTTCCTGGCAGCTCAGCCCTGAAATAATCACACAAAACTGTATTAATTAAATCATTGCTTGACCAGTTACTTAAGTGTATTGCTAGGTTGCTCTTATGTCTAGAAATAACCCATCTCCATTATTTTTTATTTTACCATGAGGCTTGTGGCCTACTGGCAAGGTTCCAGAATGTTTTCTCTGGCAGCAGTCCCATGACTTCTCCCTGACTCTGCCTCCTTTCTCCCAGAGTTCAGTTTAGTTTTCCCCACCTACCTAAGTTCTGCCCTATCAACAGGCCAAGGCATTTTTTTTATTCACCAGTGGTATTCACATTATACAGAGAGGAATCCCACATCACCCAAAGTTGATGGCCTGTATATACAGCATGGCTTTTGAAGGACCCACATTTCCTGTGCTTTCTTAGGATAGCTTCTAGTGGATATCAGGAGCCTAGTAGCTGCCCTGTGAATACTTTGACCCTTGCAGGCTGCTGGTCACATTTCATTTATGTGCTGGTGCCCCTTTAGAAACTTCTTGTCCTCTAGACACAAACTCCATGGAATCTAGTAGCAGCAATCTTGGGGCCTCCAATGAGATATGTGGGGTCCAGAGATCACTGGATCTAAAGCCCCTCATTGGTTCATTCCTGTGAAGGAAATAAGGAGAGATATTTTCTGGGGGACTGGGGGCGATGGTGCTATGGGAATCTGAGGTTGAAGTGGGGTGGGTGTTGTGGGAATGGTCTGTTTTTCTCTAGAATAGGGCTTTTGGGTGTGGATATGAGGATGTCAATCTAAACCCTGTCTTTGGGATGCCAAAAGGTTTCCTTTGCATCTGCAGCCTCACAGCTCATTGTCAGTGGTGAAGGCTGCATAGTGGATGCTGTACATTTTGTACTTCTTACAGTCAGTTTTTCTCAAATATAGCCATGGAGGATTCATTGTCTATAGCCCACAGTCCTAATAGGCACCTCAGCAAGCTCGGCTGTCCCATGAAAAGTCCTAAGGATGTGGTCCATTTCCATGCCTACATTGTAAATGACCTCTTCCCCTCCCCCAATCTCCAAATACCAAGGTCATCCCACCTAAATTAACTGTTCTCTTTTTTGGAAGAGGTGTATGAATAATATTGGTACAGAACTCAACAGATATATCAAGACTTATTTCCACCTAGATGCAAAAGAACATGAGAAAGCCTGATGTGGCAGAATGGAAAAGGGTGAGCCAACAGAAGAACAAGCAACCCCAGTGTTCTGCTCTCCCTTGAACAAGTGGAGACAATAATTTCACCATTTCTACAAGGCTGAGCCCACTCCAGGAGGAACTGTGAGTCCTGGTCTCCATTTACACAGAAAATAAAGTATTTTGAGGATCCCCCATGATGTCCAATTCCCTGTTGTTTCTGAAGTCCACAACATTGTTTCCCTAGTCTCTGATAACTGGTGTTGCAATTTGTTTTTAATTATTTTTATTTCATGTGCAGGGTTGTTTTTCACACATCTGTGCACCTTGTGGGTGCCTGGTGCCCAGAGAGGTCAAAGAGTGGGTCAGTTAGATCTCTTGGAACTAGAGTTATACTCAGGTGTGAGCCATGATGTGGGTGGTGGGAATCGAACCCAGGTCCTCTACAACAGCAGCAGGGCCTCAATTACTGAGCCATATCTCCAGCTCAGCTGTTGCCATTTCTAACATGGTCTCCTCCATGTTGGATCAATGGTTCAGCTATGCTCCATCTTCCACTGACGTCTTGTCCTGAGGAAACTATGTTTTGTTATCTTTCAAGATCACCAAGGAAATGCAAGAAAGGCCCACATAGGACAAACCATGTGTAGTTAGAGAAAAGGCTGTCCCTTGGAGGGCGACTGTTTTGATAGGCAGGGGGTTGTCTGGGAACTGTTTGTGAGCATGGAAGTCTAAAGCCCTTTTGCAGGATCCAGGGAGTGTTTCTACAAGTTACTTGCTCCCCATTATGCAACCTCCACCATGTAGCTTTCCCCAAACTGACTCGTCCACTACCCATTCATAAATGAGGCAAAGTATTTCTCCATATGAGGATATTTTGCAGTGAAAGGGGGGCAGAGACATGCTATTCCCTCCTCTGTAGTGGGGAGCGGCGGGCTACGTTCCTGGCACCCGACCGCCTGCACGGCTAGCTTTATACCCAAAATAATTTCACGGAAACTGTATTCTTTTAAACACTGCCTGACCCATTAGTTCCAGCCTCTTATTGGCTAGCTCTTACATATTGATCTAACCCATTTCTAATATTCTGTGTAGCACCACGAGCTGCCTTACCAGGAAAGAACTTAACCTGCATCTGTCTGGAGTGGGAGAATCATGGCAACTGCCTGACTAGGCTTCTTCCTCCCAGCCTTCTGTTCTGTTTACTCCGCCTACCTAATTTTCTGTCCTATCAGGCCAAGCAGTTTTCTTTATTGAAAATAAATGAAAGCAACAGATAAGATACAAGACCCACCTCCATCATTTCCCCCTTTTCTGTTTAAACAAAAAAAGAAAGGCTTTAACTTTAACATAGTAAATTACATATAGCAAAACAGTTATCAAGTAAGAATTACAGTTACAATATTTATATCTACTTTATCTTTTATCATAACTAAGGAAAACTATAACTATCTATTTATTCTTCAACTCCATCAAAGACTCCAGAAGGATATAATATTACCTAAGCAAACAAGAAATCCAAACTCTAGAAATGACAGAGACATCTCGCTACCTGAACAGTCATCCAAAGTTCCTCTCTACTGTTGGGGCATCCATCTTCAGCCTTCAGGCCCATAGTATCCAGCAGACATTTCCATGAAGCAGGAAATTTCAAAGGCAGTTCAGTCACTATCTGCTGTGTCCTGCAGAATGTCTTGCAGACTCTTTCATGAGTCAGGAACCCCAAAGGACCATCTCACCTTTAGGCAAGTTCAGCAGTCCTCTCTCTGCAGGTTCTTTGTGTCCAGTTCATGCATCAGTCCAGGCAAGAGCAGTTTCTTGCCCAAATGCCTAAACAAACTCCATAAGGAGCCTCTTCAATGCCCATCTTCCTCTTGAAGTAGATTGGTGCTGCCAGAAGCAGACATGTCTCATTGTCATGAAAAGCCCTAAGTTATTAAAACATTTAAATGCCATATTCTGCAGTCTTTGAAAGATATGAAGAATGTCTATCTAACTGAAATATATCTCTATATATCTAGAAAATCTAACTAACATGACTACAAGCTTGACTATTATTGATGATTATCCATTAAAAACCTATATTTCATAATTATACATTACATTTTAAATGAACTATACAATCACAATACCTTAATCAAGATCAGAAATACATATACATATAACAAAATTGACCTTAAAATCCATACCAATGAAAATTATTCATATCTATATCATACCATCCTTTAAATGTAAAAAAAACATTTATAAACAATATTTGGGAATATGGACGTAGTTATTTCTCTCCAAAC